TAAATAAAACAAATAAAATAAATAAATAAGAAAAAAAAAGAAAGAAAGACAGACAGAAAGAAAGACAGAAAGAAAAACAGAAAGAATGAAAGAAAGAAAGAAGAAAGAAAAGAAGAAAGGGAGAAAGAAAGAAAGAAAATTAAAAAATATTATCCATGGTTTTAAATAAAAAGTAAAAATCATGACGTCACAGTAACCTTTTTATGTAACCCCGATGGGACTATAGACCCCGAATAATGCGCGTATAGTAAGTAGGTCAAGTGAGCTCCGAACGTAGGACCCAAGTTTACTTTGCCATAATAATATGACCCCACTTAGAATCGCATGTCAAACTGAAGCATTGTGGGTCAAGGAGGTAACGTAAGACGCTTTCATGAGAAGACGTGAAAAGATAAGATCAGGTTTCCTACGGGCCTGTTTGAAAAAAAAAATAGGGGCTGTCAGAAATCACACGAGACGACGTTAAAAATATAACTTGCAGCTAGTCTCTAGATCTAGATCTAGCTCTGCTACCGGTATTAATTTACATTTGTACTTTTACAATATTTCATCATTATTCTTCTCACTGGTTTCCTGAGAGAGAACTGGATCTAGATCTAGATCTATAACTTTTTTTATGCTTTGCTTTCCAGCCCCAAAAGGGTAGAGATCTATAAGCGGCGGATAAAAGTAAAGTAAGCTTTGCAGCCAACATAATAGCTATGTTTATAGTACTTTATACCATTAGGATAACGGGTTCCGTCAAGTGTAACTAACTGGTATCACTACTCCATGCAGTGGGGATGTGTGGGTCCAGTGTGGGAGCAGCAGGGGGCAACGACACATTAATTTTTTCTGTTCGACTGTGTCCTAATAGAGCACCACACATCTAACCCAGGGCTGGGAAACGGGAAACACTTTGGCATTATATTAATATTTATTATGACCCAAGAGCAGCTCTCTTTGCTAAAAGTTTCAGTTTTGTGCGGCTCGAGGGATACACTCGGGGTATGGGGAAGTTGCTGGATGTTGTTTTGTTTTTTTATTCCAGTTACATAATATTATGCTGAAAAAGTACCTGTTGGGACGTTCGTCAAATTAAAAAAAAAAGGTGTGGCCTTGCACCTTGCTGTTCATGACCCAGTGGAAGAGACCCCCTGATCCGAAAGTGTGCCCATCCTTGATCTACGTAGTTCACACTACCATGCACGTCATTCGTGCCTCCACTGACTCAACTGACTTGTCCTTTCACCCCCGACCACCGTTCCCCGCCAGGACCAGGTAGTCAGGTAGCCAGCCCACCTCCGCTGACGTATGGTTCATGACATGTCAATGTGGTCGGTTTTAAGCACAAGGGGGCTATCCCGAAAAAAACCAGTTTTGAGAAAAATCGAAGGTTAAGTTTTTGCCCCTTGTTCAGTTTCTTTAAAATAGAAGGAGAGTTTTCTATATATATATATAT